CACCGAGGGCACTCGGTGGTGCACCAGGAGAGGCGTCGTCGCCCGAATAGAGATCCGCAGTGTTTCGGCATCTCGCATTTTTGGGGAGCATGTCTGGGCGGCAGCGTCGTTAGATCCTGGTCTGCGGCAGTCAAGAACCTGACAGGACGAAGGGGGGGGGTTCAGCTCCCGCTCGCCCCCGCCCCTCGGGCAGAGCTCCCGGGGGAGCGGCGCGGCGCCGAGGGGGAAGAGGGGGAGAAGGAGGGGGAGGAGGAGGAGGAGGAGGAGGAGGAGGAGGAGGAGGAGGTGGAGGAGGAGGGGGCGCCGCGCCCGCGTCGTCGTCGCCCTCGGCCTCGACGCCTCGCTCGCGGTGCTCGAGGACGGCCAGGGCCGTGCGGCCGCCGAGCAGCCGAGCTGCGCGTCGGCGCCAGCCACGCCCCAGCGGCGGCCACTCGAGCGACAGCGTGGCCACTCGAGACTTTGGTCAATGCAACTTTGTTTGTGCGATTCGAGGGGTGACGGGAGGTATAGAGAGAGAGAGAGAAAGAGATAGAGAGAAACATGTACATGTAAAGGAATGCGTATACTTACAAATGTACATTGCACATGTATTGTTGTGTACATATATATATACACATAGATGCAGAAAGAGAGAGAGAGAGAGAGAGATAGACAGAGAGAGAAAGACAGACAGACAGACAGACAGACAGACGGACGGACGGACGGACGGACGGACAAAAAGACAGAGAAAGCGCGACAGAAAACACCGAAGATGGAACAAGATCAATTACCATCGAGCCAAGAAGTCTGACCGAATCGGAATGTGCGTCAAGCTTGGCCGCATCTGCACGGATTCGGGATCGGAATCGACTCCGCCGCGCCCCCAAAAAAACACAGCAACGCCACGCCAACGTCCCATAACGTCGGACCGTCGGCACACCGGGATCGAATCGGATCGGCTCGGGGGCGGCCAGAACCAGGATCGAATCGGGTCGATCGCATCGAACGGGGCCCCGTGGCGAGAGGGGGGGACTCGATGACGCCCCGTCGCCCAGGAGGAGGAGGAGGAGGAGGAGGAGGAGGAGGAGGAGGAGGAGGAGGAGGAGGAGGAGGAGGAGGAGGAGGAGGAGGAGGGGTAGAGCTCGAGCCTCCGACGAACGTTCGGGGCGATGCCAGCTCCCCGGCAGCGCCCTCGGCGAGGGGGCACCTGCTGGCTGGCCATCGCTCGGACGGTCATTCCCTGTGTGTTTTTCAGTTTCGTGCGTGGTTTTTTCGCCATATTTTCTATTTTTTCCCTATATTTTTGGGTTTTTTTGTCCCTCCCCCCACTTCCCATATTTTCCTATATTTTTGCGTGTGTCCCATATTTCCCATATATCGAGGATGCTCCTCGATGGTCCTCGCCGACAAAAAGTGCACACGTCCGAGCGATGCCAGGGAGGGGCACCTGCTGGAAGACGCCCCGAGGCCGGGGAGCACGCGAGGACCAAGGGAAGCGCAGACAACAACAACAGGCCACGTTGCGGCTCCGACGTTGTGATGTTCGGGGGCCCTTCCGTGGGAGCGCCATCCGTCCCAAAAACAAGAGATATGTCGACACCTATCCCAAGCGTCGTGGGGTTTTCGAACGGACCAGAAATTTGGGACCCAACCCTGGGATCTACGATGGGAGGCGTCCATCCTATATATGGGGTGCGTAGTAGCCCCGTGAGGGTGTATCCCCAAGGCTCCTTCCTTCTCTGAGCGGCTTCACTCTTCGTCGAAGAGGGTTGGGGGCGAAGAGCCGCATGCGACCTGGGTCGTTTTTGCTGACGGCCCAAAGGCCCAGTGAGGATCCCCAGATGCGGGCAATATTCACACCCATACCCCGCAGTGCGTCTTGGACTTTTTTTGTTCTCCATCGCAAAAAACCGCCGCCGCGGACCCGCGCGCCGCCCCGCCGAGAGACCCGGGAGGGGCCGCGGGTCCTGGCCGCCGCGCGTCGCGTCGCCGGACCGATCGAGCTTTCTGACCTGCCACCGAGCGAGCTGGCACCACCACCCAAGTCCGACTGTCAGGGGGGCGTAAGACCCGGGTACAGGGGACTCGGAAATCCCCGACGAGGTCGTCAAAAAAATGACGAGGCCGAGCCTGCATTTTGACGAGGCCTCCCGCTGCAGACATCCCGCGAAACTTCTACTCGTCAAAACCCGAGTCGCGGTCGTCAAAAAACGATGGCGAACCCGAGTCCTGGCAAACCCGGGTCTTACGCTCCTCCGAGACTGACCCGGGGCGCAGCCTTGGGCTGGGCCGCCCAGCCAGCGCCTGGAAGCCAAGGATGGTCGTCCGAGAAGGCCGCAGAACTCAAGGCATCAGGACGCTGAGCTCGAGGACGATGCCCACGCATCGTCGGAATCCTCTGGAGGAACCGTCGTGCAGGTGGCCAACAGCTGCTGAGCCTCCTCTGGTGAAGCAACGAGGTTCGCCCAGCTGTGCACGTTCCCGTGGCTTGCTGCTAATGCGGCTTTAGACAATACGTTCATGAATTCGTTGTTACTCTCTGTGAACAAACTTATCCATGGGCGGGTAAAGTGCGCACCGGCAAACTCTTGGGAGTTATGGGCAAAAGGAGGGGTGCACACTTTGAGCAACGAACGAATGGCGAGACAATTTACCACAATGTCACTCATGCACTTGCTCACCGCCCATTTGATGCCTCCCATGTTGCAAACGGAACTGGACACGAAAACCATCCAAGGGATTGCCACCAGAATCAATACGTAAACCCAAATCTTGTAGTACGTTCTCTTCTCCAAATTCCATGTGAAGGACAGGTATGCGCCATCACAAAATGAGGCCCAAAGAAGCCCTTCACTGACAAAATCTGCGAGAACAAAGCATATCAGAAAACATGCTGGTGACAATGCAGCCGCATTCATGATAAAATTGCGGCGTGCTTCCTCCGCAGGGACGCATCTCCGCCATTCCGATGCAGCGCTGCCCCCAAGTCCTGGACGGAGGTCAAAGAGGGGCTCCTCGCTCAGTTCTCTGTTCTCCCCTTCATTGTATGTGGAATATGATATCAGCTTTCTGGTGCTGTAGCAGATGTCTTCAGCCACCCAACTGTACAGCTGCGTGCTCATCACTGACTCGTCTTCCTGCTCGATGTCCTTCAGATGTGCATCATAGTTGTAATCACCTGTCTTCGTGTAGGCCACAGATGTACTCCACGATGCTTTATAGATGAAGTTGGATGTCGCATAACACACTAGAACAACAGGCAACAACTCAACACACAGGAGATGCACGGCTGCTGTCGAAACCATGTCGAGGCGAATACATCTTCCAACGTCCTGCTACAACATCTTCTCCAAGCGCGTCGCCTGAGATCCAACCCGCTTGAGCAACAAGGCCTTGAGCCAAAATGGCTACGGAAGTGCGCCTTGGACTGTCTTGGAAGGGGCGCCGCAAGGCCGAGGCGCACTGGATATGGACAAACATCGAGCCTTTTGGAGGCAGATTCTATTCCATATCCAGTGCGCCTCGTGTTTCTTGGGAAGAGAGTTCGAAACTCCAAGACGCACTGGATGTGGATGTTTGCCCGCACCAGAGGCCAAGAAACATAAAAGAACAACGGGTTCGTCGTGCTTGTTGTTGTTATCGCGGCGCGAGGGGGTCTGGGACTCTGGCGGCCCAGCAGCGCCCTCGCGGCGAGGCGCAGCTACGGAAAGGCCTCCCGAGGCCAGGAAACCGCGCGGAACCACGAAAAGTTGAGAGGAGCCCAGGGACACACAAATACATACACACAAGTCCCAGCAGTCCCCATATTTTCCAAGATCTTCTGGGTTTTCGTCTTCCCCCCCGCTTCCCACAGTTTCCCTCATTTTCCAGGGGATCGACGATTACTTGTGTCCGTGTGCTTCTCCCTCCCGAAAGTTGGGCCCCTGCCCCTGGGCCTCGCGTGGTTCTTTGATGGCCCTGGGACCCAGGCCCGAGGCGGCCAGCAACAGCCCGTTGCCACTCCCTCGCCGCGGGAGCGAGGGGCGGCAGCGGAAGGGGATGGGCATAAAGGGGGGGATGCATCGACCTCGAATGGCCAGTGCATCGCCCATGCAAAATCGGCACGTCGTCGACGCAAAACGCCCCCGCGCATCGTCGACACACCGTCGACACATCGCCCACGCACGCTGTCGGGCAGCGTGCCCTGACATCGTCGGTGCCGCTCGAGGCCGACGCGTCCACCCCTCTAACCCGTCGGTCGGAAGAAGCAGGCAGAACCGTGAAGGACTGCCATGACGGCGTTGGAAACATAACTGAAGGGGCCCCGGGGCACACAAAGAAATACACACAAATAAAAAGATTCGCCACATTTTCCCATAGTTTCTGGGCTTTTGTCTCTTCCACTTCCCACTTCCCATATTTTTCCATATTTTCCTGGGATCGACGATTCATTGCGTCTGTATGTTTTTTCACCTCCTGAATAACGAGCTCCCGCCCGCCTCCCGAAGAGGAGGGAAGGAGGCAACACCGCTCGCCCCTGGAAGCAGGCGGGCGCCCAGACAGGATTGGGACCTGGGGGTCAAAACGATGCCACTTTTTTGAAGAGGCCCACAAACACACAAATAAATACACACAAATAACAAGATTCCCCATATTTTCTCATATTTTCTGGGTTTCTGTCTTCCCCAACATTTCCCATATTTTCCCATATGTTCTGGGAATCGCCGATTAATTGTGTATGTGTCTTTTTTCCCCTCCTGAATTTTCAACGACGGGCGTCGGACGCCCGTTTCCCGTGCCTTGTTTCGGTGTCGTGCGTGCCGTTGTTGCTCGAAGGTCCAGGATGGTCCTCGATGGCTCTCGCCGAGCAGCAGTGCGCACGTCCGAGCGATGCCCAGGCGCGAATGCCTACCCCCAACGCCCACACTTCCGCTGCCCTCGAGACGAGGGCGTGGGGGGCCCTCCCTCCGCCGAGCGCCTCCCCCGTCGCCCATCCGCCGCTCCTCGGCACGACGCACACGTCCCCGAGCGCCCGGCCCCGCCTGCTCCGGCTCGAGCTTCACGAACGCGCGCAGGTTGGCGTTCTCCAGCAGAGCCTTCCGGATGACCCGCTCCTCCAGCGGCGACTTCTTCGTCGCCTTCGCGGCCTTCGCGGCCCCGCTCTCGTTTTCCTCGGGG